GGGTCCTGTCCGCCTTATCAATAGGCTACTTCTGTTTTAAACATTGCATGCGTGCCTGTCCGCTACGTCACTGGGTAGTTGTTTCAATTTATTTTCTAAAAATCCATCTTTTGACCGATATATGTAGTGGGGAAAAAACAGAATAAAAGTATTTAGTGTTAAACAAGTTGTTTTTGGAATTTCTCTGTCTGAAATAATGCTGCTCTTATTTTCATTGATGACTGATTACAGTGTTCTGACATAGGCTATTATAGACTGTTAATAATTTTAATTATTAATTAATACAGAATTGGCATTACTGTATTAAATTCTTTAATATCATTATTGTTGTTATTATTATTATTGCACTTCTATATTAAATTTATAGGTATACTACAATTAATTTGTTTGCAATAATTTCATAGCAAGAAAGGATGATAAAAGGTTAAATTAGCTTACTCTTATTATATTGAGTATTACGAGAAATAGATGGACTGAACGTGTGATTACCCGCATCTGATACAGCATTCATTTTTCAATTCAATCTCATAATAAAACATTAGTTTGAATTAATGTCCCCCGAGGAAATTGATGATGTAAACTGTCGTAGTAACATGGTTCAGCTGACAACGCTGGTCCATGCATTTGTTGGTTGCGTCTAAGGTATTGTTGAAGTAAAAGTAATGTCCTTGTTTACAACCTTGTCTTAGCCCCTAAATATAAAAGTCTTTACTGACTCACTCATAAAAACAGTCACGTGTAGCCATCTAATGGCATAACAATGTAACCAAAATCACCATCACTAACACAGAGATTGTTTCTCAATACCAATACTCTTACTAAATACTACTATTATTTATATACAATATAATTTATTAAACAATAATTTTAATAAACAACAATAGCTATCATAAAAGTTAATCAGCACAAACAGCTCAGACCAAAAGACAAGCATTCTGGTGGAGGGGTGATGATTTTGGGCTTGTTTTGTAGCCACAGGACCTGGACACCTCACAGTCACTGAGTCGACCATGAACTCCTCTGTATATCAAAGTATTCTAGAGTCAAATGTGAGGCCATCTGTCCGACAGCCAAACCTTGGCCAAAATTGGGTCATGCCAAACATGACCTACATCTACAATCTACAATAGAATGGCTGAAAAAGAAAAGAATCAAGATGTTGCAATTGCCCAGTCAAAGTCCAGACCTCATCATGATTGAAATGCTGTGGTGAGAGCTGTGCATAAACAAATACCCACAAACCTCAATAAACTGGAGTAACGTTGTAAAGAAGAGCGGGCCAAAATTACTCCAGAACGACGTGAGAGACTGTCATACAGAAAAAAGTTATTGCTGCTAAAATTGGATATACAAACAACTGAATCATAGGGTGTCCTTAGTTTGTCACCCATGGCGTTTCCATATTGGCTTTATTTTTGCTAAATAAATAATGTGATACATCATGTGTCACTGGGTTACATCATCTGAGGGTTTTTTCCCCCAAATTTTAAGACCTGCCAAGAACCAGATGATTTTTTTTATTATGTCCTGATACGGAAAACCATGGAATTAAATAGGGTCTCCTTTCTTTTTCACACAACTGTATATATACACATTCATATATACATAAATGGAATGTATATGGAATGTCCCAAATTTTACATCACTCCACTCTCAATGTGTTCAGAATTGGCCTTCAGAAGAAATTGATGATTTTCAAGATGTCCACGTATCATTTTACCTGCGCTGTAGGGAACTTTCAGAGTGCTCCGAGTGATGGCTCTTGGTTTGAACCTGGAAGCAGAGGTCTTTCTCAGCGCACATAAGCATATTGGAAGTAAGTAAAATGATATGCACTTCTTCTTGCTCCCAGTGAGTCAATGGCTGGGAGATCTGCAAGATCTTAATGATGTGGGTGGTTTTAAGGTGATGTGAATGGAACGACTCTACGGACTCTGTACTACCCTCCGGTGAACAGCACATGTGTGAAGGAAAATCAGCTGCGCTGTGGTGAACACTCTGATTATGGTAGTATCACTTTGGTCTTCCAAAGCTCAGAGGGTGGACTGCAGGTGAGCACCAACATAGGACAAGAGGAGAAAAGATTAACGTGCTCCTTTATCATTTAGGATAGTAATTCTGGATCTGGATGCATTCTTCTCCTTCAGGTTCTGAACCGGGCTGGAGAGTTCATTTCAGCCCCCAGCATTCCTGGAACAGTTCTGATTAACATAGCAGACCTGATGCAAAGGTGGACCAGTGATGTCTATGTGTCTGCCGTAAGTTTCTTTACTAATGCTTCATTTAATTGTGCAGTGCAGGCAATGCTCATTTAATTCTTTTCTATTGTTCTGACCCTCAGGTTCATAGGGTTTTGCTGCCCCCTGCAGGTGACTCCAGCACACGTCAGTCTTTGGTCTTCTTTGTACAACCTGATGACGAGGCCATCATTTCATGCTGCGATGGATCAGATAAATATCCTCCTGTTAAGTCAGTTGATTACATTCTGTCAAGGTTCAAAGATTCTTACGGCAAAAATTAGATCCTGGTTTAAGTGAAATTTTATGATCTTGTATGTTTAAAAAAAAATCAGTAATAATCATCAGAGCACATAATTGGTGAAGCTGACAATTTAATACATTAGAGAAACGTAAAGCACAGTCAATTACTCCTGAAATCACAAAGGATCAATACTCAAACAAGGCAAAAAAAAAACAAAAAAAAACTACCAACCAAACAATCCATACTTATTTTATGCTTAACTTGATTTCTATATATTTTATAAATGTATACATAGTTTACAGTAGAACACTGGTTTAAAACCATGAAACTATAATGAATTAAAATGAAACAGCTTGAAATAATTCACTGGCATTGCAGCAGAAATTCTTTAAAATTTTCAGATCCTTGAGAATCAATCTAGGATTTAAACTAAACTAAAGTGGCAATGAGAATGCTGAATTATATTTTCATGTTATCTTCCATGTATGTTTTCAATAAAAATATCTTTAAAAAAAAAAGAAAAAAAAAGAAGAATGCTGAATTGTGGGGCATGTAACATGACATGAACTATTTGTTACCCAGGTATAATATCAAATGCCTAAATGTGAATAGAGATCTATCCTATGAGGTTTGGCCATGTTTGTGCAAAGACTGCAAATCAGACATGAAAGAACAAAAAGATACAATAACAATAAATGTACAGTTAATTTCTCTAAACACAAGTTTCAAGTACAGTCCCTTTCCTCACTATCTGCACTTTTGATAAGAGACGTGTGATTGTCCACAGATAATTCTGTTAACTACATACTTCAGCAGCCTGTTTTAGGATATCATAACTCAATATTGTTTTGTGTTTGATAATACCACCACAGTGATTTGTTTAATTATTTCAAGGAAAGCCAAGGTCTTTGCTAAGAGACAGTAAATGGTCCTTTTGAATGTGAGGATGGAAATATTTGACACTACATACAACAGACAAACACATTACAGACACTGAGAAGAGCTTGAGCAGCTAAGAATGTGTGGGGAGGTCTTGCTGGTGACCTTGTGACATAGGCTGACTGTCCCCAGGTAGTATTTCCACAGCAGAAGGTACTGCATTCATAAAAAACAAGAAAATATGATGATAGAAAATCAATATTTTGTTCCTATGATGGGGCAAAATGGTTTTGACCAGAAAAATGTAAAACAATTACACTGACCTTTGGCCTGCACTGGAGGCTCTGTTTTCTGTGTTTTCAACCGCTCCATGTGCTCTACTGCCTAAAAGAAAAGATCAGTAAGTATGTTAGAAAGTGTTGAGGTGAGAGAAAACTAGCTTCAGACATTTCCATTATGTTTTAAAAAGGCAATATTTTAGTGACAACAATATCAGCATAAGATAAAAGCAGTGCACCAATAAACTCAATCATATACAGCACACTCGTTTAAAAGTGTGGGGTTGGTAATATTACATTTACATTTAGTCATTTAGCAGACACTTTTATCCAAAGTGACTTACAAATGAGAACAATAGAAGCAGTCAAAACAGCAAAAGAGCAATAATATGCAAGTGCTATGACAAGTCTCGGTTAGGTTTTTATATATATACACATACATATAATAAAAACAACAAAAATGTAAATGTAAATGTTGAGGTTTTTAAAATAAGAATTCTTATGCGATACGCTATGTAAAACCATTATACATTTTAAAATACAATATGGGGTAAAATACAATATGGACATGTGCTTGACAGGTTTTATGAGATTTACCCATGAACTCATGTCAGATGAAAACAACATCTCTTAGTGGTTATTTAGTAGTTATTTTCTGACAGATTAATTTCCATTAATTTTCCATGACTTTTCCAGTCATTTTTGATGACCTGGTAAATATTTCAATAGAGAGTGGACTTAAAGTGAAAATAAATCACATATACATATATATATATATATATATATATATATATATATATGTGTGTGTATGAATAAATTATAAATTATTATTTACATTCATGCACGTTAAATTCATTCTAGAAATAATTCAATAATTCAATAACAAATAATGTTCTTTAATTAATCAAATGAATATTAATTTTGTCAGGTTGGTTTAAGATGAAGTCCACTCATATGAGATGAAGACATATGCTTTTAATATGATTTAATATGATTTAATTGAATTTACCAAAAAAAAAAAAAGTAATATTACTGTATGTTTGTCACTTTCTTGTGGAATAACTGAATCATGGGTGTCTTGGGTGACAATATATTCAACATTAAATGACTGAGTGCATGTTTAAATGATGAGTTCACACACACAAAAAAACGCTAAAAAAGTGGGCGTGGTGCGCCAGCGGAGTGGAGGAGGGGGAAGAGGGGAGACAGACAACACACACGGCTTCGCGTTCAGACAGTTTAATTTCGCTCCCATCAAGTTAAAAACACAAATAAATGCACAGCCATTTGCACGCTGCATCGAAAACGTATATAGGAATGCGCTGTTGCACCTCTGAGAACTTTTAAGGCTTATTCTGCTGCGTTTATAAGCCTTCTGACGGGTTGTGTCACAGAGCTGTAAAAACGGTTATGCTCACCAAGTGAATGAATCAAGTTTGTGCCGAACTCTTATTACAAAGCAAAAACAAACACTCTTCTTCGACCCATTAACGTTTCTCTCAGTTAATGTGCGCGATGTCACAGTCTGAAATGTCTTTTATAGCAAATCAACACATGCTGTTGTGAATAATTAAGCAAAGCTTCTTCTCATAGGATAAGAACACGCAGTCTCATGAATAATTTAATAGACACCGACTCGTCATCGATGTACTATAGTCCATTGCCACGTCACAAATTCGCACACAATGTCGATTTTAAACCCGGAAGATGAAAATAGCGCAAAAAAGCTTAAAATTAACCAGCTTTCTCCAACAGTTAAAATTATCGGATGCTAACATTGTCTTCTATGATGTACAACACAAACACCTCTGCTAAAATCTCAGAAAAAATAGTCTGGGTTTCCTGACCCTTTAACTGTTATCTGTTTAATCTTCATCTCAATTTCACCTAATATTTCACAACCTCTCTAATAAAAGAGATTTCATTAGCCTACTTGATACAGACACAGATGGTCACCGATCCTTCTGGAATCTTTCACGATTCAAATTTAATTCACAATAAAAACAACAACAACAACTAACAAGGTAGCAGGTTCATTTGCGTGTGAAAGACTCAGCAACTGGTTTTCTTTTTTCTAGCCAATAGGCGTTGTTACTACTATTTATCCAGTTAACAGTTTTCACCTTTGGTTTTTAATAATTCTAAACATAATATGAACTATAAATTCTACTGCTAAAACCAACTTTAGCAATGAAAGATGATGCATCATGCAGCTAGTCAAACCCAGAGCCGTTGAGAAACAGAGTTGCGACACTCCCATAGGCTTCCATAATCGATTCTTGGGATTTAAGAATCGATATCGTAAAAATGAGAGTCGATTAATATAGAGATATCGATATTTTTTACCCAGCCCTAATAAATTATATTTATTACTAAGATATACAGTGAACTTTTCTTATCAGCAGACAGTATTCCATGCAAAATAGCCCCACAATAGCACCGCATGCCACCACAAAGATTTTTGGTGGTGCAAACAATTTATTCTGAAGCAATATTTTCATCAGTGTTCTATCAGCTTTTACATACTTAAATCTGCATACTTGTATTTACCGTTACAAAGGCCTATTTTTACAAATGCATAAATAATGTTTTGATATATTAAACATAAAACGTTGAATACTGATATTTGAAATTATTTAAATAATAAAAAGGTACTTTAAATGCGAAATTAAAACCGCCAGTAGGCAAGTCACTGGTAATAAGGGAGTCATTGCGATTGAACTGAATAATTTAAATGATTGATTCATTCAGGAACGAAACACCATCATGTTGCTCAGAGACGCAAAACAGCGCTTTGGCTGTGTTTGGAATTATTTTTGTCGTCGAAATAGTGAAATAATAGGCAATATGGTGTCTAAAACGTAAGTCTCTTAATTAACTTCTAGTTTATTGAACTGTTAATCAATATCACATTTGTAATCATGGTAATTTTTGGAGAGAAAAAAAACGGCACTCTTGATGTGAAATTGATTAACTATATGAAGTGGTATAAATATATACATTTTCTGCCCCATGTCTTGAATTTTGTGATCATTGTAAATGTATTTTAACAGACTGAATCATGCAGTGAAAGAACGCACTCTAAATGCGCACGCGCACTAGTCTAGTCTTCACGCGCCCGTGCACTCTGTAGGTGTTTTGAATGCTTTTTGCGTCGTGAGAATATTCAGTAAAATAGCTCACTTGTCATGGCATGTTACTTAACTATATCATGTTATGAATAAACTAAACATTTAGAATTTTCACCTCAGTGTGTTTCTTCTGAGTTTCTTTATGTGTGCTGTTATGCTCATTTGTTCTGAAGTCTCTCACAAAGAGACAAACAGAGTGAGCCTCAACAGCGCGATCTTGATACCAGAAATACACTATCCATTATCAATCGCCATTTACATTGAATGTAGGCTAATAAAATTAGAAGAATCATTATCGCGTTATTTTTTTGTCACTTATGTAAATCTTCGGTCTGTCCAATGATTGTAAACAGTCATTAGTTCTGTCAGACTGAAGATATTTTAGCAGTACTGTGACCAAAAATATTTAAGAACCATCGAATCTGAATTTAAAGGGGTCATATGATGCGATTTCAAGTTTTCCTTTCTCTTTGGAGTGTTACAAGCTGTTCGTGAATAGATAAGATCCCTAAAGTTGCAAAGACTAAAGTCTCAAACCCAAAGAGATATTTTTTATAAAAGTTAAGACTCGTCCACGCCCTCCTAAAACGCCTTGTTTAAACTCGCCTCCACATGTCTACGTCACTGTGTGGGAAGATTTGCATAACACCGCCCAAATGTTCACGCAAAGAAATAAGCGGTAACTTTATTGTTGCTGCCGCCGCCATGTCGTGAAGACGCTGTGTTTTGTTTGCGAAAGCGAAACTACTTTGTTTGGCCTTCCAAAAGAGG